CCCCAAAACCCCAAAACCCCAAAACCCCAAGATTAAATATATACAATTAAATATGAAGAGTGAGTCCCAATAGTTAGACAGATATTGTAAAATTCTGAAGAATTTTATGATTTCTGAGCTTCCTAGGGCTGGATAAGAGAGGTTTACCAGAACTACAGCATCGTTTATTATGATAATATAAGCAAAGCCATCACTATCCAGCATCTAGACGTCTGGATTTAGAAAAATATATCATAAGATTTATAAAATAAGGCAACAAGAAAACCAAAGGATTCAGTTGCAAAGAATCCTAACAAGGAAAACTCTTAATGATGCCTGAAATGGAAGAGCAATGTTAAACATTTTGGCTTTTGATTTTCATATTTTGAAGAGTTAATATTTCCGAACAAGTTCTTCTTCAATAACATACAATTCTGTTTAGGTGCCAACACATTGAGTTTTCATCAGTTCAATTAGAATCTTAATGAAAATGTCTCAATTGTTATCAGAAGACTGATTAATTGACTAATTTTCTGTTAAAAATTATTTGAACCGAAGTTTATGAATAAAAATAAGGTCTATAATATGTTACAAACTGTATACTAATTTCAAAATCTTAGAGTAGCCGTCTGTTCAAAATGGGTTGATTTTTATAGCTGGTAGTATCTTCTGATCGTAAAGATAAATAGACCTACCTTAAATCGTTGTTAAGGTCTGTTATACTGTATTTATGGCATTTAAAATCTGGCATCTCCCTATGCTCTTAGCTGAGATTTGCATAACTATAGAGCGGCGTTTTAGGGTAAAAATTTGAGTTTGTAATTTAGAAATTGCACTCCCAAATCACCCCTTTTGTTTCTTCTCATATAAAATATTTGGGATATATGACATCTTGGGTAAATAAGTGTACCATTCCTTTTAAATGATTATAGTATGGGCATCAAAAGTTATAATTCAAACATTTATGCTCAAAGAAGCTGAAAAACGTACTAAAAACAACAGCACCTATGATTATATTTCTTTGCTGAGTGGTTGCTTTAGCAGTGATTAAAGCTCTCAGACAAATTATTTTGCAATGAAAGCGAGAGATAAGCTCAAAGAAGACAAATACAAAAGTCTAGAATGCTTAAAACCAGAGGTACTCTTAAATATACATTTCCTAATTCTAATGAAGCTGTTAGCTTAAATCTGTCCTTTCTGTATAAAATCAGAAGGTGGTGAATTTCTTTAGGAAGGCTGATAATTGGCTAATCCTTCTTCTAAAAGAAACTTGGGATGAAAATACATAGTTCAAAACCAAAGAAGCAAGAAAAGAAGAGTTCAGAGTCTAAATTGTCATATTTTTACGAAAGTATAAAGTCTAAGGCGGTATTTAAGGTGTGATTTGCTATCTTATTTAAGTCTTTGAAAATCAGCCTCTGAGCAATAAACTAACTTTATGTAAACAATCTTGTAGAGGGTTATCAAAGGAAGAAGAATGAAAAGTTCAGAGTATAATAAAAAATAGGAAGAGAAAGACTATTTGCTTGGTGATCTAATCGGCAAGTTTAACCTTTATTCTTAAGACTAATTAGAAAACCTTTAAATAGATATCTCTGTTGGATGTTAGAATTAATTTTAGAGTATAAGTATTCATCTCACAAAATTTTATCATTCATTTCAGATCTTCATCCATATCTTTTGATAATAAGAATGACAAGACTTGAGCTCATAAATAAAAATCTTAATTTCCACAATTAAAATAGAGTGTTTCCAATAAATTCTTCCAAAAATTCACCTAAAAATGGAATTTCCAAGATCCGAGCACATGAATAGCCACGGTCTTAACCTATGGACCCGAATTATTAAACCTAACACTGAATGGACATCTTATAATCCCAGCTTCATAGGCAACATCACGCCTAGAGGCTTAGATATAAGCAGAAGTGAGTCATATTTATCCCAAGATTTTAATCAAAAATTAAGCTAGAAGATGACTACTTTAAGGTTAGTTCTACCTAGAGTAAGTTTATGTGGGTTTTTAACAGTTTAGACCTACAATGTTTTAGGAATGGAATAGACTTGGAGATTGGAATTTGAAAATAGTGTTTGGTGTATCTGAAACTCTCAGACTCCATTTTGGACACTCCTTTGTTTATTATTGTTAGGAAGTTTATAGTTATTTGGATTAATCTGATATCTTTTGGGGTTTTGGGGTTTTGGGGTTTTGGGG